TTGCATGGCAATGCGCTAACGGATACCACTGCAGTGTGGCTGTAATTTGATGTCTGCATGCAGAACCTGGATGGGTGTATTGAATATATCATCTGCTTCCCCAGGGTGATGCACTAGCAGTGACATTTCACAAATCCATCTGTGGCCATAGGCAAAGCTATTCTCTGTGCTTGGAGAATTCCTGCAGCACTTTAAAAAAGAACGGATGTATATAAAATGTAATAATGTTAATCTCCTAGTTACAAGCACAGAAGCCAGCAAAACTGGAAACAGGGAAAGCTTTTTCTTCTATGATAAGCTAATAAAAAAGAGGATCACCAGCTAAGGGCAAGCAGCAATTATCTAATGCATTATTCCCAGAAGGAGAAGAAGGATATTATGGCACATCCCTGGAATGCTACTGTGGTTTAAAAAAAAAAGGCACATATCCTGTTACTGCCAGAAGGAAATGAAATAGTACTCAAGACCAGATGCCATATGAATTAATGTACTCATTTGGTAACATCCATATATAAGACTGCAATGATATTTTAAGCACCATGAACCTAATTGCTGAAAGACTCTGGACTACTTCAGTATATTGGTAGTAAGAAGGCAAGCAAGTGATTTATGCCCAAGAGTAATTCTGCCCTGAGCTGGAGCAGAAGGGAGGCCGCTGTGGATGTGACTGCAGATCAGGCTCAGTTGCCTCCACAGAATGTGCCTCTGCACGTACATAAAATGTCATTTCTTGCAACTGTGTTTCCATCCTTGCCACCAGACATTAGTCATACCTGCACCGCAGGCCAAGGGGTGGGAGACCCAGACAGAGCTCTGAAGCTTCTCTTGCTGCACAGCAAAATCTTCCTGTCTGCTTATCAGGCCCGTGGCATCTTGCAAAGGGCGAGACCAGGTCTTCCCTGCACGTGTTAAGAGCAGACACTAAACACACTGGACTTCAAGGGAAGGTTATGCTTTGTGAATAGAAGAACACGGAGGGAGATTTTGCTGAAGGACAGAAAGATCAGTTGTTTTCAAATAATATTTTTCTTGGATAAGGAAGGAGTAAATTTCAATCCTACTGCAAGATTCTAATCATAAGGGCAATAACGTGATGTTCTCTTTATTTCTAAAATAGCTTTGCCTCTGTGGAGACTACGCTCTGTCACAGTTAGGTCTAAGAGGACAATTCATCACTAAAGATGGGAAGTTAAATATATGCTTATTCAGCTAACAACCCAATGAGCTTAGAGGAAGGAAACACATTTTTATGTCTCTGTCTGCAGTATCTCACTGACTAGAGGAGTCTGATGACTCCTCTAGAAAAACTAATGGTATGTTTTTAAGCCAAGCCACAGCATACAATATAATCTAGAGACCATCCAGTCTAATTACAGGTAGTGCAACATCATTTGGAAACAGCCCCTTGTATCATATCATTACAACTTTTCTACATGTCCTTATCACAAGGAACCAATCGCATAGTCTTTCAACTTTGCTAAAATTTTCTGCAAAATGTCATGCATCCTGTGAGCATTGCTAGCGATGAGCCAGCATCCTCTGACAGACCATGAAACACTCTCATTTGCTGAGAGTGCTCACATGAGGTTCATGCTGGAGACTGCCTTGATAAAATCTGCAGTTTTGCCTCCCTCCCACACGTTCCCTGCTTTATTATTGGCAGCTATACACAGCGGTTTAAATTGCCACCAAGGCAGGAGAGTCGGGCTTCCTCCTTCCTGCTTGGTCCAGGTATAAATATTTGCCTGTGCTGCAAAACGAGATGCAGGCCCAGGGCCTGCACAGGCCCAACTAAGTCAGGGTCGCTCCGAGCTCCCTGCCAGGGGAAAATGCTGCACAGCCCAAGCAAACCCAGCCAGCCGCTGCAAAGAGCAGACTGGCTCGCAGGCTGCATCCCGTGAGCAAAGGAGAAAAGAAACAGGGAGTGCAACGTATGGCTGACTTCTCATTATACAGCTGCGATTGCATTTCCAACTGGGACAGCCATACATTGCACCCAGCCTGAGTGCTCTTCGGGCATCTGAGTGCCTTTTCAATATATTGTATTTGAAACGGTTTATTTGCTGTAAGTAACAACAGTATCACAGGTAACCAACAACCACGAGGAATACCTGTTTGTAGGAATTTCTGTTTTTGTCATTATTTTACATGTTTAAATTCTGACTCATATGTGAACTAAGCCAGGGAGCAAATAGCAAAGCTGAATATTTTCTCTATTTATCAGCCTGAATTAGTCACAGGGCAAAATACACTTCTCATACACTGACTGTGGGTTTGGGTTGGAAGCAGAAGTCATAATTTAACCCAGAAGTCAAGAGTGGAGGCTGGGCCCAAACCTGCGGAGCGTGGGCCCAATCCAGCACACATATGAATGCAGCTTGCCCGCTTTCCTTCTCCCCACCCTTTCACAGACACTACGCTTTTCCCTTCAGAATTCAGAAACATCTCCAGAAAATCAGAGTTCTACTTTGAGGCATTTATAACATTGTAAAAATATTTCCATGTGCATCAAATCCCTCTCTGCGCTGACTTTGAGTAGCAGCTCTGTTCTTCATCTTGTTCTGCAGCTGTGTCATTTCCTGACTGTGCTCTGGGCTCGGCTGGGCCAGATCTCTGCTGTGAGGCCTTCCTAGTGCTTCAAATGACACCTTGGCTTTCTCTACCCCGTTCCTCTTTCCC